CCAAGTTATGCAGCTGTTCCACAGGAAAATAGCAAAAGGCTTCAGTCCAAAGCAGGCAAATAAGGCATGATTGTTCATAAACAGTCACTGGGGTCCTCACATTTAGAACAAGGAAAACAGCATTAGCATACAAGGGCAGGCTAGGAACAGGAGTTTCCGTATAAGTTGGGCAATGTCATCACTTTGTGATGTATACAAAAGATAATGGTGTTATTTTGTCTACTATTAACATGCATAGTAACATGACTAATTCAGTCTTCAGGGAATCATACATCATACAATGCCCATACATTTTTTAAAGAAACAACAAAGATTATTCATGCACTAAAAATAATGCTAATTCACTTGCAAGATATAAAAGAAATATAAATGTATATGCATGATACATTCATGTGTGTGTGCATATGTGTGTGTGTGTATATATATGCTCATTATTTATTTTGTTTTACAGATTTTCATCTGCTCATAATGGCTGGATCAGTTGAAAGGTAAAGGTAATAAGAATTAAGTGATTTAGGAACCAAACAGAAGTAAAGCCCACTGTTGCTTCTCAGGGGCTCCAAAATGACAATATGAAGGGCTGGCATACTAGCTGCAAAGAAGGGAGTAGAACTTTGATAGTTACTACCAGAGTGTAAATCGAAATTAAAACCTGCCATGAGGTATATGTGACATCACATATTTCAGTTTTACTTTCACATTTTATAGGATTTTTTAAATCCTATCTGAAAATATGGCTATTTTTGATTTGGCAACTTCTGTCAGACATGTTTATTTTTTGTACTTCCTCTCCTTTTCATGATTCATTTTCTGAAATGGTAATCTTTCCATTATCTTTACTCCCCGACCACCTACTAACTCCCTGATTAATCCATTTCAATTTCCCTTCTGTTCTCTTTGCTCTGATGCCACGATTTTTCTTGGTGATCAGTAAAATTTCCTTCTGGGAAAATCCAAAGATTTCTGTTCAGTTTTCTGTTGTTTTTGTCCTATTTGCCTCATCTGGCACTGCTGGAGATATAAACTAGAAAGAGAGGCTAGATATCAGACTGTCTTTAAAGAGGTTAATGCCTTCATTTACTAGAAATTATAGTTACTTTGATAATGTGGAAGACTGGATTTTAAGATGATTAAGAAGGACAAAAGAGAGACAGTTATATAAAGGCAGTCTTCAAAGACATAGAAATAATGGAAATTGGAGATAATTATTTAATAATAGAGATTGTGTTAAATACACATTTATTTGTTGACCATAACATACAAAACATAACATGGGGACCTGTAAGGATAAAAACAGTAATGAGTATTTTAATCCTAATGTGCTTATGAGCTAGTTGCCAGAAAATACTAAACCAATTAGAACATTTTTAATATGAACATAAACTCTTCCTACAAATGATCAGTTTAATAGAAATTTGGCAAATTTCTAGAAAAGGTATCAATTAGAAGAATGCCTAATAAAAAAAATAAGGCAATGTCTCAAGACTAGCCAGTGCTTCACATTAAAACACCTGAAGTTTGATTTCAAAGCTGACTAGTTCTGTATGGCTAATTCTAGTTTTTGAAAATCACTTTAGCTAATATTAAGCTAAAGTGAAATCAGGAAACAGGTGAGAAACTGCAAACTTTGGAGAATATTTAACAATATTTAAATGTGTTTAAATCCTGATGCCTCCATTATGAATCTAAATGAGGAAAATTTGGCCCACAGTTTATTGCAAAATAAGGAGATGCTTTCAACTTATTTACTTTTTAAAAATTGATCTTAATCAGGCTCCTTCGAAGAAGGTGACATTTTCTATTCTCTAATCATCCAAAATATTTGTATTTTTAAATAAGATACAGATCAGTGTACTTTCCATTCTTCTTTAGTGCAACAGATTATTACACACAAAACTATTTTCTTGATAACTGAAAAAGATTCGCAATAAGGTACAATACAACCAAGGGAAACAGACTACCTAAATTCCAAATTACATGGATTTTAGGATTTAACTATTCACATCATCGAAATGTTGTTTCCACTGTTGGCAACTGATATGGAAAGATACGGTAGATCATTAATAGATAATTGGGTTTTATATGAGTATAATATGTAATTATTTTTAAAGACTCTGAATGTTTCCATTTTCATCTCATCTAACTGCATAAGTTATACAATTATTCCAAATATGTAGTATGCATTTTGAAGCAGGTACATAAAGACAAAGTAAAAGCAAAAAATCTTTTACTATGCCCCAGTCTTCATCAGTGACAAATGAGTGCATAAGGAAGATGTGGCATATAAACACAATGGAATACTACTACCCAGCTATAAAACAAAGCAAAACAAAACAAAACATAAACTCTTGCCATTTGTGACAATGTGGATAGAACTGGAGGGATTTCTGTTAAACAATAAATCAGAAAGAGAATGACACATACCAGATAGTGTCACTTATTTGAGGAATAAGGAGAAGTAAAACAAAGGCTCAGATAAAGCCAATTCAAAAACAAGCCCAAGATATCTGCGTGTAAAGCTGAGAATACCAGAACTGCAAGGGGAAGTCAGAGACCAAAAACAGAAGGGCAATAGACCATGGTGGAGGACTGTGGGTGTCTGAGTAGTTTGGAAACACATCTGAAGAGGTGTGAACCTGTACCTCTGAGCCATTGCAGTGTTGTAAGCCCATGCTTCTTCAAGGGAAAAAAAAGAAGAAACAAAATGAGAGGAGGGACAGATAGAATAAAAAAAATAAGTGTGAGTTAATTTAGTGAACTAACAAAGTGTGTTGAATGCAATACGATTGAGGAATTTGACATTGTAAGCCTTTGTCTTAAAATTCTCTCTGCAAAAATTTCTCATGGGATAAAATTGTGGAAAATAAATGTTCAGTAATTTAATTTGATTTTCACAAAGTTTCTCCCATAGTTAAATGCAGAGAATAATTCATCTTATTAAAATTTAAACAGAAAATAAATAAAAAGGAAAATTTTAACATCATTTATATATCTGTAAATTTCCCTAACATCATCCCTTATATCACCTTGTGCCTTTCTCCTCTTTCCCTTGTTTTTTTTTTTTTTTTAAAGATTTATTTATTTGTGCATACAGAACTGGGGTACAGGCCAGAGGCTCAGGGGCGGTGAGAGGCTTCACCAGAGACAGAGTGGGGAGCAGAACAGGCAGATCAATGAAGTACACTGCTGAGGGGAGCAGCGGGCGGGTCGGGGGAGGTCTGCTGCACCATGTGGATCACCTCCGGGGCAGGCGGGGATCGAACTCATGTGGAAGTGGCTTTAGCTTCTTAGTGCTGTGCTTTAACCCGCTGCGCCACCAGGGAGGGCCCTCCTTCCCTTGTTTTTAATGTGAGATCCACTTTATCAGTATCCAGTAATGTTAAATTGTCTGACACTCAAATGTCTAATAGTTAGCAGTGTCATTTAGACTAGTTTTACTACACATCATTTCCTTAATTCCCTCTACATTGTGGTAAAAGGAATGCTTCACCCTTCCTTATGCCTGAATAATATTCTGTTTCTTGGATGTATCACATCTTCCTATTCAGGCCTCCACCAGTGAATATTTATTTCCATGTCTAGCTATTAGAAATAATGCTACAAAAAACATGGTATAACAAATATTCTTTGAGTTAATGGTTTTGTATTTGGAGTGAGACTGTTGGGTCATACACTATTTTCATTTTCAGGTGCTTAAGGTAAGTTCAGGTGACTTTCCATATTGTTATACTTTTGACAGTCCTCCAACAATATTGTAGGAGTTCTCTTTCTTTGCATACTCTCCAGCACTTTAATATATTCCACTCTCAGGATTTGAGTTTATATTCATTGCAATTTTGGCCTGTATCTCCTTTATTAAAAGTAATGATGAACATTTTTTTCATATATCACTTGGCCTTTCTGGATACCTTCTTTGGCAAGTTGTCTGTTTAGGTCTGCTATCCATTAATTAATTGGATTGTTTGTTTCTTTATTGCTAAACTGGGCATGTTTTTTGTGTGTCTTAGACATTAATCCTTTGTTGATTGCTTAACATATGAACATTTCCCCTAGTCAGTAGGATATATTTTTAATCTATTTATATTTGTTTTTGCTTAAACAAAAGCCTTTTAGTTTAGTGTAATGTCAATTTAGTTTTCCTTTTATTTCCTTTAATATATAGATCATGTCTCAGAAACATCTTTATCATTGATATTGTAAAATATATCACCAATTTTTTAAATGAATTTTATTGTTTCTGGAATCTTGTAAAAATCAAATTACTTTAAAGTAGCAGTGGCAGTAAATTAAAATGAAATCAAAAGTGTTATTCTACAGAAATTCAAAGTCTTTAATTCATATTTGAATAATCAATATTCAATTTTATTTAGAGATAGATTTTCTGTGCATTAGTTGTTTATACACATGGATATCAAAAGTGAAATTTTAGAGTTGAAGTGGTATCAGAAGTTATGTATTTTAATAATAAAATCACTTTACATTTGAAAAGAGCTTTTTGACTCTTGTCATTTACACTAACTCCAAAAATCACCTTCACAGATATGTCTATGCACCCTACATAAGAAATATAGGTTTATTTTCCTTATTATGGAAAAGATTCACCACCCCATTTTAAAACTTGGGCCTATTTTGAAGATGATTCAATATTTTCAAAGCTTTTCATGAAAGAACTAAGTTCAGAAATATGCAACTTCTATCAATCTGATGATGTAAACAGTGACTGATTAAACCTACACTCCTTTCAGGTTGAAATATCTTACTGGTAAAAAGAGGGAAAAATCACAGTTGGAAACTTTCCCAGAAACTTCACTAAATGATAAAGTAAAAGACCAATCTTCTGCAGACACTTAATGAAGACATGGTTCAAGGAGTTTTCCCTTCTAAAGATCACTTTGCTCACCAAGAAAAGACATAAACAGTGAAAGTCTGCAGTTAAAGAGTGCAATCAAAGCAGAATAGAAGAAAAAGTGAAAAACAATATTGCTCATTAAATCACTTACAGTGGTTTTCCTTTGGATTCACAAGTCAAAATTAAAGGCTGTCCTTCTTGTGGAAAAGGAGTGGATGGTATAATCTTTACTGATGGTGTATCTAGAAAAATATGAAAAGCAATATTATGAAAACATGTTAAACTCATATTTTTAGTAACTGTAATTCATGTTGACTCATTAGGCTATTATAATTTTGTACACTTATCAGCACTTTCTAAGTAGAGTATATAATTTTAAGAAGCTGTCATCCTATCCATGAAAAGCTAACAAAAACATCTGAATACTTTATGAGCACCACTGTTGTACTATTTCTGAAATCTGAATTTAAAAGTGAAATTGCAAAAAGTAGTTCAGATGAATATCAAACATTTCATACAATTGTTTCTTCAACTATTTATAGATGACAATGAATACTATTATTACAGACTGAATGCATTTATGTGCATTTGAATAGCACTTTTCATTGTTGCAGGAATAGCAGGACTCATAATAAGGAGTCCACAAGGAACCTAAGATCAATTACTGTCTCTCGAATATTATCTAAGATCAACTACCTTCTCTCGAATATTATCTAGAATCTTGTTGAAAGTGCAGTAAGACTGCACATAGAACATTCTGCCTCCTCGGAAGCACAATTAAAAAATAAATCGAGATAGTCATTTAAAATGTTACTCAAATTTAACATTGTTATATATGTATACACACAATTATTTCAAACATATTTTTCCCATTTAACAAAACGATTCCTAGCGCAAGTATGTTCAGTGATACTTAAAAAAAACACATATAATTTCTATGCCAGTGATATTCTTTAATTAATACAAAGATATATATTACATAGAAGAAATGAAAAATCAGCTGAAGAAAGAAACAAAATAATCATTCATGAGGCTTGCTATAGTCAGGAAGAAATTGATTTTTATTGCCAAGTTATCAACAACAATCAAAATAGGTTCTGAATTCTCTAGTCACAATTATTCTCACTCTTAGGTATGAAAGAATTGAAATACCTAGGAGTTGTATGTATTCGCTGATTTTGAAAACAATTAAAAATTATTAATTAACTGTAATTTTAGGTTAATTATCTTATTTCAGCTTTATCACATATAGGGCAATTTGATCCTGTGAAACTACACCATATTTATAAACTTTACTTTCAAGTGTACACCTTCTTAGTCTTGTAAACAATAACATAGTCAATATAATCAGCAATAATATCTATTTACAAATAAGAATCCGTATATATTATAGTAAATAACATCAGTGTAACATAATTCAAGAAGAAAGATTATGTTGAAGAAACATGACATATATGCACCATAGGAGAAAATAATATGAAAATGGTATTTCACTAATCATTTTATTACCATTATCACATTTATGGAATCAGTTATTTCTAGAATGATCATACAATTTTGTCTTTAAAGCAAAATTTTAAAGTGAAAGGAAATATTAATAATTATGTATGGTGATTAGTATAAACCAAAATTATTCTGGGCAATTTTTTAATGTTTACCACAAATACATATAGCAACACTTAAATCCATCTATCTATCTATCTATCTATATATAAAACCTGTAATTTCAGAAAAAACGGTGAAAAAGGTCAGAAAAATCTGATTCTGGAAAAGAGAGCTGTGTTAACTTGGGTGTCTGTGTTGGTTAATTTTATGTGTCAATTGATTATACAATGGGATGCACAGATATTTGGCCAAACATTATTCTGCATGCTTCACTGAGGGTGCTTTGGGAAAAGATTAATATTCAAATCTGTAGATTGAAGTACTCTCTCTAACGTGAATGGTCATCATTTGACAAGAATTCCAGGCAATTACACTTTTTCTTTCAATGCCTTTAATGAATGTATTTCATTTTGCCATTATACAAATTATCTGAAATTCAACATTTTAAGGGTTCCTTTGCTTATTTATCCTTTTATATTTCAAAATCAATGTAATTTACTAATGGCGATTATTCATTAGTCTCAAATTTGGTAAGATACGTCCGATGAATGCTTTCTTTTTTAACCATGTGTAATTTTTAAAAGCCCACTGCGGTGGAATGCTGTATCCAGGCCCTCCCAGTGTCGCAGTGGGTTAAATCACAGCACTTAGAAGCTAAAGCCACTTCAGCAAGAGTTTGATTCCCGCCTGCTGTGGAGGTGACCCACACAGCATGGCAGACCTCTCCTGCCCTGCCCACTGCTCCCCTCAGCAGTGTACTTCCTCAGTCTTCTTGTTCTGCTCCCCACTCTGTCTCTGGTGAATCCTCTCACCACCCCTGCACCTCTGGCCTGTACCCCAATTCTATATGCAAAAATAAATAAATCTTTTAAAAAAGAATGCTGTATCCATATTTGTTTATATAAAATCTGTACTAATACATATTTAAATGAACATATACACTAAAAGCTTTGATACATTTTCTTATACCAATTAGGTACTTCAACTTTGAAATATTCAAAAGTGCTTAATGGAAATGTGTAAGTGCCTGCTGAATGTAAAATTTTTCAGTGCCTGCTGGATACTAAATATTCATGCCACAAACTTTGGATTGAATTTTACTCTTTGCTCATGTTTAAGTTTGTATTAATATTTATTGCTTACATACTTCCTTGTATATATGCATTAAATGACTTTCAGTGCATGATTATAAAAACGGTGATTTGTTTTTAACACAATACCATATTAATACATAACTTTTCTCACCTCATGTAATTTTGATAGGTGAAATAATTTTGAAGACAATTTTTAAAATATTCACCCAAAATTCTAGTTTCCCCTTCAATGAAATGTCACCATTCCTCTTGAAAGATGCCATGTTAGCAATATGCACACACAAAAAAAGTTTTTAACCACTTCAAATACTATTGGGTAATCTGATTCTTAGTCCCAAGTTGATATATTTTCAAATACTTTTCAATAACAGGAAGTGATTTAGTCTGTAACAAGTTTTTACTTATTGACAAAGAAACATGCCATTATTACTCCTATCTCATTTTCACATGTCACATTATTGTATCTGTAAGGTAGCTCATCAAACACTAATAGGGGAAAATTACCGTAGTAAAATATCAGTAACCTGGAAATAATGCCTTTAAGCTGGTACAAAATTCCTGCACTTTTTCATTCAGTTATTGCAGCCAAGAGAAACAAAGTAAAAACTGTAGTGATCTCAAAAACAAATTTAATTTTAAGCCTTTAATTTCCAGGATTTCTTCAACATGTTTATATTAATCATTGAACCCCCCAGGTGAACATAAACTTCTCTGTTATTTATTTTGTTATAAATCAACAAGATTGGAGGATTTTATAGGAAAAGCTAATTGCACAATTAATAATAGGATAATGATTTTATAAAATAATCTTTAATTATATTTATATTAAGGTATTAATGTTTATGCTAACTCTTATTCATATGTGAGAAAGCAAATACTTTATAATTCAAGTCTTTTAGTTCACACATTTCCCAGGTTATATATTAAGAATTATATTTCTTTTCCTTTTTTTTATTTCTTAAGTTTTTAAGCAGATTTTCTCCTTGGTTTTCAATTTTTCATATTCAATTCAAAGGAGTGTGTTATTTTTTAGTTGCAATTTATTTAAACAGTGTTGTGGATATAATGCTCCATTTTTCAATCTAGGTGTGATTTGAACTACATTTCATTCTGTTCTATGTAGCAAAACAGAATGACTCTTCTGCTTGGTTACATTGTGGATATGTATGATACTCTTTTTTAGTAGCTGATGTCATGCACCATTATATATATAAAAAATAGCAAAAAAAATAGTGAAAATGTGAAAAATGTGAAACTGAGATATTTTTGTAAACTGACAATATGTTTTAGGCTGTGTTTCAATAACTAAACTTTACCATTTTATCTACTAAACATAAATGTATTATGTAATATTTATAACATGAATAAAATGTTAATATATATTTATATACATATGGGTGACAGGAAATAGTAGGTCTATCTGATGTCATAATACAGGACATACACTACTATTACAAAACGCTGTAATTATTAAACTGTTTTTGACATGGCTTCTTGATTTACCACACTTTGAGCATTCAAGACCCAACCTATTTGGCTGTGTCTTCAAATCCTAATAAAATGTGTAAAATGCTGCAAAAGTTTTTTACATATTGGTTGAAGAAATGAATGAGTTATTTCCTATTTCTCTCAAAATACAAGCAAATGAGAAATATTTACACAGACATAAAGAAAGAATATGATTCATTCATCCACGAAAAAGTTAAGTACTTACTAGCAAATACACAAAGTGTAAATAAATTTTAAAAGCACACTTCTTTATAGCTTTTGTAGAAAAAAAATTTAAAATAATAAAAATCCTAAAATCCATCTTTAAAATATTAAATACTAAAAAGCAAACTTTTTTCTTAAGTATTTTTTATTTTACCTATTTGGCAATATTTGGGGCTCATTTTGAAAGAAGTACAATTTCATCAAAAGATAGATCAATATTAAAAAAAAGATTTTATATTCAAAATTTTAAAAGCTTTGTGAACTTTGGAGTTAAAACACCTTCTGTTCTATTGAAGTGAATCAGGATTTGAATCAATGTAGAAATATCGAACCAGTGAAATGGATTTTCTATAACCTAAGTAAAGATTTTTAAGAGAGAAAACAGTCTGTGATGAAGTCATTATTAAAACACCTACTAGACAGTCTTGAAAGCAAAAGCTCTTAAAGTGTTTCATGTCACAGTGTCAGTGTTCCAACAGCATTTACCCATCACTTAGGGTACTTATAGATGAATAAAAAGCATTAAATCAAATGTTTTACTAATAAAATAAAACCATCTTAGCCAACAATAACCAAAGAAATACAAGAGGAATTTAGGTTATAAAAAAGTGATATCTAACCCATTATGTATAATGACTAAATTGCTAAATAAGAGAAGCAAACATGAACTAACTTCTAATATTGTCTTGATCTATCATTCTTGTATTACATAATCAGTAAACAGAGATAGTTTATAACTTAAAATAGTAGTCATTTGCATTGTGGGTGGCATTATGCAGACCTTTGTTTAAAAGGAATATGTTAAATTGATAATTTTATTGTTCACAAAA